CTTTTGGAACACAACCAGGTTTCTTGTCTCCGACCGCAGAATCGTGCCGGCTCATATAGCACCAGTGAATACTAAAGAGGTGTTCCATTAGTGCTTTTTATAGCACACCGAAACTTTGTACCGAAACCTGCATCGTAAGGGTAATCCATGCATGGATAACACACTGGTGTGCTATGCTGTTTCATTCCAGTACAAGTATACGTAGCAATACAATTATACAGTGTCCAATTCCTGAACAAGTCGTGTACAGTAAAAACTCGACATAATGCCACTCGGCAAATTGGTCACTCCACTAACCGCCAATATATTTCAATGTCCTGTTTACTCATTTTCTTAAACAGTTTCTTAATAAATCTTCCTCAATATATCGCTGAACTCCGTTATAATGCAAAAACATTACTTGACAAACAGTGGCAGTATAATGCTGTTTTGCTACTGTATAACGTATTCGTCAAAGAGCCGATTAGCGAGCTATATATATGTGAAAATTCCTGTGGTTCGAAATTTCGTCTTTACGCCCTTTCGCAAATACAATAACGCCAAGCAACAAAACGAAATAACGAAAAGACAAAAATGCATAAGAGCAATGTAAAAAAAAGATAAAATTTAAAAATTTAAAAAACCCGAAAATACCTCAACCGAAAGTGAAGTAAAAATAACACCAAAAGCATAGAAGTAGAATGGCGTTTTTATCCTTCCTTTTTGGTATAATTTTGTTATTTGTCTCTGCCGCTTTTTGTTACAGTTTGCTTCGGCGGATATTCGTCTTTTCATTACGTATCTTTGATGTTTGTCGCTAGGCGCCGTTTAACGGGCGTCAAAGTGAAAGACTAAATGTCGTATATGAGCAACCATACACATGTAGATTGCATATATAATATCTTTGATTTCTGTGTATAACCTTATCGTTTATTGACGAAAATATAACAAAAACATTTAATAATTTCTAACATATTTTATCTGATAACATTTTTTATGTAATATATCATTCAGTGTGTTGTGAAGTATAAATAGGTACATTTTATAGCAATAAATATTGTGTCAATACATAGAAGTGATCATATAGGCATGTAATCTACATGACAAATACCAACCTAGTTTAATTATTTGAAATTATAATTAAAAATCAACATTCGATGCTTCATTGTTATATACACTATCTCTCATTTTGCCAATTCAAAGATTCTGCTATTTGTCAGCTTCTTCCCTTTGCGTGAACCTATCTGTTACAATATTCCCGATATAAGGTTTCAGTACTTTTTACCAAACAATGTTTACTTCCTTTCCACCAAACAATGAAAACTTCAGTCCCATATAATTTGTACTCTTTTCTCTGTTTACTTCAGTGTTTTGACAATGCTCTAATCTTTTTAAAATAATTGGTCTCCCAAGATAAGATTAGCTTCTTGTTAACATAATTTATTTTATCCTTTCTTATGAATTAGTATATTTTTCCATACCTGTAAAACCCCGGTCAAACTCATGTTGAAGATGTATTTGATCATTTAGTCCCCATTATAACTTAAAATGTCCTCCCTCCAGATACAATATGATGCTTAGTATCTAATTCAATATGATGTATATTTCAACGTTTCTCCCCCAATTACAATATCACGCTCAGTACCTTACCACCTGTGAAGTTCATTTTCATCTCTTCTCCCCCAATTACAATATCACGCTCAGTACCTTACCACCTGTGAAGTTCATTTTCATCTCTTCTCCTCCCATTTACCATATTACGCTTAGTATCTCAATTCCTCTGATGTGTATTTTATCTCTTAATAATATAATTTCTACATCCTTTTCCAAGACCATGTTAAGTTACCTTCTTCCTTTTGACCATTTGCATACACTCATACCTCTTTGATACTCCCTGGGTTACACCCACTTACGTTCTCTGCACCACTGAAAAACGTCACTACAACATCGAAGGCTCAATGTGCGCCACCTTGTAGATGAGACAGGAAAACAAGTACATCAAAAGCATCTCACGGCCGTGTAACAGTAAAATTGAATGGCTTTAAATTCAGGTGTTGCTCCTATGAAATCTTCAAAAAACAGGTATCAGCCTAGCGATTGGTCAAGATTTTTTACCCATGACCAATCAAATATCCAGCCGAGAGTCTTACATTTTATCTGACATAGGGGAACAGAGAGCGTAAGTAAGCGTTACCCCTTGGGTATTGAGGATGATTCATACAGAGACATTCAGTCATTCATACAAATAATGAAACTGTGTTGGGACAGCCACATTCAATTCCTGGACGAAACTCTAATACATTTCTGAAAAACACAATGTAAATTTTGATATTTAATACAAAACTTTGATTACTGTATACACGGAACACTGTCCAATCATTTTAAAACCGGAACATTCGATGTTGCCTATTTGTATGGTTTGCTATGCAAATTAAACTTAGTAATGCAAAAAGAAACCGCATATTCATTCCGATTAAATTCCCTTTTATGTGAAATTAAGGAATTAAGATAAAAAGTAAAAAACAATGCATATGTACATTTTTGATGCACATATCAAAATGTTAATTGAATATGCATATACAAATACACTGGCTAATATACTTCTTAAGTTGGAAACGAAATCTTCAATAATTTAAAATCTAACAAAGAGTTATTGTGTTTTCTAGCTAGTTCGGTGAAACCTTCCTTACGATTACATATTCTATGTCCTACACAATAACGCAATTTGTTTTGATGTTTCGGAAATCAGGAAATGATTGTTAATCATATAGTAAACAAATCAAGACGACATAAATGCCATACTGTCATACGAATTTATCAAAACATTACTCATAGTTCGCAAAACATTTACTATGCATCCTTCTTTTGCCATGCATTGAGAAGGCAAATATCGTTATGAAACTATAACAGAATTTGCTATTGTGGCGTCATCAATCTCTATTTTGACGTCATCGATTTCATTGTTGTCAAAACCTAATTTGCTGTTCAAAATCTGTTCGAAATAACTAAATAAAGCATAACCACTCTATCAAAATGTAAAAATAAGTAATTAATATTTTAGAAAATATTGGTATGGTCCTATAACACAAATTTCTATTGCTGACAAACTTACATTAAGCCCCACCGTGCTTTATAAAGTTTGTCATAAATAGCAATATAGCAATGTACACACATTGCTATATTGCTATTTATGACAAACTTTATAAAGGACCATAACAACATTTGCTAAAACATTAACTGCTTAAATACTATTATTATCAGAAATCTATAAATGTAAGACAAACATATGTAGTAACTACCGATATTTGTTTCTAACAACAGTTCTCTCTATCTCGCAAAAAGTCTTTCGAATATGTGTATTTGCAAAACATAAGTGATGTAGCATTATGCATCACCATAATTATCCACTCAATTTTGGCTTATGTGTTGATGCATCCTCGAAATCACAGGGTAACGCTCTTCTACGTTCTTCGTACCACTAGATTTTGTCATGACCGAAATCGAATTCTCTGCGAGACACCTTGTGAATGACACAAGTAGACACGTTTGGTCCTTAGATGTACATAAACAATCGTGCGGTTGCGTGACGGTGATATTGACCGATGTCGCTCCTCTGTAATTTCAAATGATTAATCCTGGCGATTGGTCATGTTTTTTTAAACCTAGAAAATCAAACAGCTATCTGTTTGCTTTCGATTTCGGCATGACAAATTCCATGGAAGCAGAGAACGTCAGTGATCGTAATCCCTGTAATTTCAAGAATAGTGTTGACAGCAATGTACATGCTTGACTTGATATATGGAAGACATATTGCATTGATTGTTCTGCCCTCCTTGTGTTTTATTTGAGATATACATGTTTATATATAATTATATATTTACATTTGTGTTGCAGTGCCTCTAGATAACAGTACCAACTCAAAGTGTTTTTATGATTCTATAAAAGCAAGTGTGTAGTAATATTAATAGTACTACATGTACCATTATATGACCTCTAACCCCCCCTCCCCCCCTCTGACCCTCCCCCCTCCCCAAATACACACACACACACAAAAAAATAAAAACGAAACGAGATAATTTAATGAACGGTTAAAAACATATACACATATCTTATCTATTTTTTTTTAATTATCAACAAGAAATCACCCTGTTTAAAGAAATTGAAGTCCGCGTATTCATCGACTCAAATCCGTCGTGTGCTAACTCCAGCCACAGACATTTGTAACGAAGCCCTGTGCACCGACAGCGACGTCCCGGACGTTTCCCTTAAGGCACATCACGTTTATGTCGGGCCATCGAAGCGTGTTTGCTATTAGATCCTATAACATGTCCTTTTTAACAGAACAGAATAATTCGCTGTCCACTGCACTAGCGTCCGTTGTAAGTGGCGAAGCATTGCAAATCGTCCCGGCTCGTCGGCCAGTCCCCTTAGTGACAGTAACACATGCCGAATGCTCAAACGATGAGCTTGTCCTGTTGACACAGTCGATCGACACCCGAATTCAGGCAACAGCATCTTTTAAATCGTTATCTGGTTTTGCACTTTCAATTTCCATTAACCCGTCTTGTTAAAAGTCTAACCGCTTCGTTGGCTGATGAGCATAGCTGCTGCACAACCGTTGTTTAACGGTCAGCTATCTCCGCGAACACGGAATAAAATTCCTGACTTTTTACAACTAAAATATTTTAGAGTTTATTTGTTTCAAATTTAGATCTACTGACAATTTTTAAGATAGTCAATGCTTGTTAAACATGCTGGTAATATAAATCAAATGATTAAAAATATGCAAAGTGGAACTATTTGTTTATTGCTCAACTGTGTACTTCGTCACCGCCGACAACGCATCATCTTTCCCGCGAAAAAGGGTGTTCAATTAATGCTGTTTTCATGGCGATGTTTTGCTTTTTTACATGAAAAAAACCCCATATTTCTTAATTTCAAATAATAAAAGTGGATGTAACAGAATGTAAATATAAGGTTTGAAATGCATCTTTTTAACATTCATGAGGGTATGCAACACAGTTCCGTTCAAACATATTCTCCAAGATGCGCGTTTCTTAAATACATAATCAGACACAGAAAAATTACGAAAGGTATTTCATATATTTAACCTTCAGATCAAAACACATTTGTGTATATGATAAATCTTGTTTATATTAATGGAATAAATGGTACAAAAACACAAATGACGAAGGAAGACATGTATATGACTCTTGTGCTCTTTGGGCCTCAAACTTCCAAATCTCCAATCCTAAATACAACCGCTGGTCGTACCGCCCCATCATCTCACCTTCTTAAAAATGTTAAAAAGAAGGTTTTGATGTTGCATAACCATATTCTCGATACGGTTATAATTGCAAATCGTCTAATGATGATTTGAGGTATTAGTAGTATGGAGCTCTTGGCGCCGTAGTTCTTGAGTTCAAGGCTGGGATAGGAACGAGTCATAAAATTGGCTTCCTTCATCACTTGTGTTTCAATGTCATTCATGTTTTTATATATAAGTGCAGTAGAACCTGAACATTATGCAAACAATTTCTAATCCGGCATAACGTAATCTGTGGATAAGAACTAACTTATATCATATTACCATTATCGTTATGCTTTATCATGTGATTTTCTTTAATCCGGACAAAAGGTTACAAATGTTGGAGCTAACGGGATGTCACCAGTTTCGTTGACGAATGTTATGTGGGATTAAGTCAAACATCGGTATGAGTATTTCTGTCGTCCAGCGCTTCAAATCCGATTAACTGTGGCGTGCCATATGTGAACTGAAATGTTAAACAATGAATACATTGAAAGCTGAGTAAATTCCAACAACTGTTTTTTCCTGTGTTGACATTATTTTGCATGGACATTCTAAATCTTGATATTTCCTGACAATGTACAGCACCATGTTCCTTATTGCTATCGTATTATTCTTTTTACCATTGATGGTCTACATCTTGATATTTCCTATTGACAGTTGACATGGTAAAACTCTATTTTCCCTATTGATTTCGTATAACTCATTCTCCCGTTGACGTTTGTCGTCGTCATATTTTTCCAGACACTGCCTAACTTCCTTTTCCATGGCTGCTATTTATAGTCATTCTCCCAATACGGTATAAATCTTGATATTGTTTGATATATTTTCCTCTTATATCCATTGACACCTCCCACTGACAATACGTTTTCCTTAATTCTGAGCTTTCCATACAAACTGATAAAAACATTCATTCTATTCCCCAAATGCTAGACTTTTGCAGGTTATATCGCGCAACCGAAAACAAGAAGACAACACAATGTTTTGCGCGGTATTTGTAATTCTTACTTCAGATCGGTTGAAGTTGCACGACGATACAATAATAAATAGTAATTTGTATGAAGTAAAACTTTTTTTTAAATCAAATTATAAGTGATAACCATAACACTTTGTTCACTTTTGTGCATAACCTGCAAACTGTTTTTTCGGTATATACCTCAAATATGTATGTATACCTGGCTAATCTTTAAGAAACTTCTATTCTATTCAGCTCAACATCAAGTCCATTCTTACATCCAAACCCGATCCATTCACATTTTGAAATCTACAGTTATAGTTAAAGTATATCGCATAACCGAAAACATAACTAAACTAGGCACCATATGCTTGCAATTTTTTGCTGTTGTTGATATTTTGATATTTACCGTTCTTACACTTTTATCTTGGGAGAAATCGGCGGGGTAATGAGGCGGAGGAGTGGTGTATTCATTGACGTCGCCGTTTTCGCGTTCTGAGGGTGTGTCAATCAATGACGTGGCCGTTTCTGTCCCTTTCATGTAGGCAGGCTGTGCAAATAGATTTCAAATAGAAATTATCAGCCAGTGGACCTTTTGTTCTTGTATTTGTTGCTTAGAGTATCTTTGAGTGTAATTTTCCATCAGTCTTTCCTTTCAATATACTTCTTTTAATGTGGAGTATATTAAATAATTCCAAGTAATATAATTAGTGTTCTTGTCGAGCAATTGTCAACTCACATATATCTGATAGCGCTTTCATAGTTTTAAACTCCATACTGGATAAACAGTCAAACTCATTATCTATTAAACAAAACTTCATCTTTTACACTTAATGTTTTTGTAGGTTAAGGTTTATACAATGTACATGACTGTTTTCAGTCAGAACTTCAATTTATTATGAATAATCCAGTCAAGGTTAAAACTGTACAGAACTTCTTCTACTACTAATAAAAGCATATATGGCATGTCACATACACTTTTAGTCAAGCAGTTGCGGATCCAGAGGTTTTTTTAGGGCTTCAGAAAACCACCCCAGTCTGAGAATTTTCTTTAAAAATTATGTATTTTCACCATTTTCCTCAATTTCCCCCACATGGAAACCCCCTGGAAATTTGGATCCGCCACTGTCAAGATATTTAGAATGCAATGCCAATGCTGTGTTGAAAAGGATTATATAAAATGTATTATACATTTGTGACGTATGTCTTGTCCTTTTATAAGATATTTGATATAGACTGTATAAGAAATAATATTTAGGATGTATCATAAACGATATAGGATATCTTAGGAAATATACAATATGTCTTATATCTTTATTTAAAAATATACAAATATCCTAATTTTGCTTTATAAGAAATATTATATATCATTTGTCAAACATTTGTATCTTATTCAAATTTCTTTACGAGATATCATATACCTTTTATGATATATCACTTATATAATGAATATCATTATCACGGCTTGCCATGCACAAAAACAAAATCGAAACTCAAAATCAATAAAAATACAAAAAAACCATGAGATACCAAAACAAACAAACAAATCAAGTAGTGCGTATAGTACCTGTATATGATATATCAGCTTATAATTTTAATTTGATATAAATTAATTCCATAAAACTTATTTCAATGAAACCGAAATATGAATGTTGAATAATGTTACGAAACAGCTACCTTTGGTACAAGGCGTAGTCTTTTCATACCGAACTCTATGGCCCCTAAAATGACGGCACTGACCAGTCCACCAATCAGGATGTAGAATACCCCGGCGACGTTGCTAAGAGACAAAGACTTCTTTCCAGAAGATCCCTGATATAAACATATACAACATGTATTGATGTAATCATTTCATTTCAATCTGTTTTGATAAAGTCATTTTATTTGTAGAACTTTCACATTTGTTCAGGTGAATGTTTTTACTCAACACAGACTTTAAGGGGGTCTCTGTTGAGTCGGTCTGTTCTGAAATGTCTATATATCGTACACTTACCTTTTTTCAAGCACCATATCTGCGTTTACCTATCACACAGAAGGACAGCTAATCTTTAAGGAACTTTTTATTTTTAATGGATCTGTTTTGATGAAGTCACTCTTTTTTTAGCACTTTCACCTTTGTACCAATGATTGTGTTTACTCAACACAGGTTTTTATAGAGTTGATACTTTTTGACCAGTTCTCTGAGCGATATACCTCAAGGCAGGACATTATAAGAATGTATACTGGAAAATTAAATTGCAGGTGAATGTCTAGAAAAAAATATATAGTAAAAAACATAAGAAAGGGTTATAATAAGAAATTATTATAAATGTAATATCATTTATATTCTCTGTTAATACAGCATCAATATTTAAAACGAGTTTTGTCCCTTAGATCAGAAACAATTCAGGAAATGCTAAACGTTATAATGAGTTTGAAATAATTTACATCATGAAATACAAATCGCCTTATACATATATACACCTCAACCCATCCTCTTTATTTCATTACAAGATAATAAGATCAGGCTATGCGAGTTATACGAAAACGCTTAAAATTCGGGCAATTCGCCTCTATCGATCGGCATAATTACTTATCTGAAGCAAAATGCGCTTAACCACCCTTCCAAAATACATGGTCGTGGTCGTATTTTAAATGGTCTGCATGCTATTTTTTTCTTTCCTTATTTTTTAACCTTCGTGTCATCGATTTTGTGTTTATGTTACCATTTCGTTGACAATTTAGTTTCTCTAGCTGTTTTCTTATAATTGTCTGTCTGACTGAGTAATTACTTTGTCGATATCCACAGTACAACATCCTTGCCTATCTTGTCACTATCCACAGTAAAATTACACTTATTACCTTGTTACTTTCTAGAGTACAATGACCCCTACGCACCTTATCAATATACACAGCACAGTGGCACCTACTAAGCTTGTCACTGTCCACAATACAATGACCTCTCCAAACCTTGTCAATATCCACAATACAACGCCTTCTACTAACCTTGTCACTAACCACAGCACGACGACCCCTTTCTCAGCTTGTTACTATCCACATTACAATATCACTTCTAATCTTGAAAATATCCACAATACAATGATCCCTACGTACCTTGTCCCAATCAACAGTACAATTACCACTACTAACATTGTCAATATCCACATTAAAATGACCCCTACGTACCTTGTCACTTTCCACCGTATAATGACCACTACTTACATGTACCTTGTCACTATCCACAGTATAATGACCCCTAGTAACCTTATCACTATCCACAGTATAATGACCCCCAATAACCTTATCACTATCCACAGTTTAATGACCCTCAAACCTTTTCACTATCCACAGTACAATGTCCCCTAATAACCTTTTGACTATCCACAGTACAATTGCCCCTACTAACCTTGTGACTATCCACAGAACAATGACCCCTACTAACCTTGTCACTATCCACAGTATAATGACCCCTACGTACATTGTCACTATCCACCGTATAATGCCCCCTTCTAACCTTGTCACTATCCACCGTACAAGGAACCTTACTTACATGTACCTTGTCACTATCGACTGTATAATGACCCCTACTAACATTGTAACTATCCATGTATAATATCACCTACTAACCTTTCACGATCCACAGTACAATGGGCCCTTATTACCTGGTCACTATCCACCGTACAATGACACCTACTTACATGTTCTTTGTCACTTACCACAGTACAATTACCCCTACTTTCCTTGTCACTTTCCACAGTATACTGATCATACTAACCTTGTCACTATCCACAGTACAATGAAATGTCCGCTACTCACTTTGCTGCTATCCTGAGCACACTGACTTTTATCTTGCCACCATTTCTGTCGTAGTTTGTGTAGGACCCCATTCTCTTTTATTGTCAACACTGCTAAGTTAATGTCGTCCCTGAAATCATCAATTTATCATGCCCAGTGTAGCATACAGTGTGCAAGTGAACTTATTTCAAGCGATTCTTATTTTAAAAGTGTACGACGGTGTAGAATTGCTTGTTCGGCAGAAGTGCGATGTATAATAGATACACACCTATATTCCCAACAACCCGTCTTTCGTACTCTTCTAGGAGATTATTAGATTATTGGAGTTGTTTATTGCATGAATTTGTGACGTCATAAAATTGATCGGTGAAACAATTATTTAACTTTTTGCGTTAAATCATGGGATATTTGGTTTCAAATTCAAAAACACATTTAAACCAGTTATACATATTCCGTTTCTGACTAGAATTCCTCATGAAAAAACTAAGAAAATAAGTAGCTGCGATTTATTTATTTCACCTACCAACCCAATTCTGTCATTTAGAGTTGTAAGCGTCCTATATATTTTAAATATAACATATACTGCTCTAAATAGTTAAGAAGATGACCTTAATATCAGCTTTTAACGCATATATACACGCACAAACTATTGCTTGCATCATTCACAGCAAAATGAAAAATGAAATGTTGAGACTTCAACATAAAGCATTTAGTTTTAAAAACACAATGATTGTGTGTACAAAGATAATTCTAATTAGTAGTCTGAAAATATATATATACGTGTAGATGTTTAAGTATCATATTTTATTTATTTCACTCCAACTTATGAAAATATTGTCTAAAAATAATGGTTCACATTTTAATGGACGGCCGTGCAAATACATGTAAACCGGCCAAGGAGCTGGTTATGGTCGCTAATAAGTTAAATTCTTGTCTTTATATCAATTTTGTGCGTAGACAATGAATTTACATAGATTTGTGAATTAATTTCATATTTATGACCAATAACTATCAACTATTAAATGATTTTGAAAATTCTCCTTAACATGAATCGCTATGTTAATTTGAATGGTGTAAGAACTTTTCTAAAGGATCCCCGTACCACTGCCAAAACTAAAACTATCCATTCGAAACTGATATTTTCCGGCATGTCTTTGGCTTAGACAAGTCATTTTTGAAAAGGTACTTATACTTTGCAGGTCTTTAACGAAAACTTAATGGAGATGAAATAAACAAACTTTAATCAACAGACATGCTCCTAATGTAAAATAGTCTGCGGTGCCAGACCGGGATTCGAACCCTGGACTTCAGACTGTTATACCGTCGCTGAAACTGATTGAGCTACCTAAACAACGGAACTGTACGATCCAAGTTCTGCTACAGTCATACCAAAACGGACGTTAATGGAAGGTTACTGTGAATAGGAAATACGGCAGTGTATTGAGTCAGGGATCCTTAATCTATTATTTCAAAATCCAAATTAATATCAATCCAAGGATCTTTACGATCAGAATAACATGATGTGTCTGTTTCATCGTTACATCACTGATTGTATATCTGTGCAATGTCAACAAGGCAAATTAGTAGATGTCCGATTTGTTTTAAGTTCACAGCATTTCTTGATCTGAAATAAATTTTTACATTACCTGTCTTTAAAGCATATACGATTCAAAAGTATTTCCTATGTAAAAATGTATACAACTACATGGTTCATACATACCCAACATACACATGTGGATCTGACCATCACTACTTACGTAAGTATATCAATGATGTTTAAAACGAACTGCATAGTTAATATTTACCATGTCTTACTTCATAGTTCATCAACTCATTTCAAATCTTGGGACATAAATCCAAATTGTTTAGCGATACATTATGGACATTTCTTTGTTAAGTAGTAAACGGAATAAATATGTTTTGATCACAAACCCATTGTTTAATGATAACAAGATATTATACACATCGATAATCCTTTCACCGATAGTAATACTGTTTTTGAAATAGCTCAATTAAGTCAAACGCACAATTTTGTATACAATTCTTGAATAGTGTTGATCTTCATTAATCTGAATAAATCAAAAGATTCAGGTATTTGCATTTTAATTGCATAATTTCAGCTGTATGCTATAAGCTAAAATATTAAGTAGCTTCTTTCTGAACAAATCTTCTTCTTGCAATACAGAATAAATTGATGAAAAACAATAAAATCTACTAATTAAAAATTGAAAATTTCTACAAAGTTAAACAGTATATTATATGTTTGTTTGATGTCAAAGACATACACGGTTTCAGTAGTGTTCCTACTTATATCGGGAGCTCAATGAAAGCTACGGGATGTAACCATGTTACTGCCATAGGTTTGTACATTACCTTAAACGTCTGAAAGAAAGGACATTATGGTCATCCTTTAAACCCAACCAAAATGCAGCATCTTAGTGTACAGAAGTCTTTTGACAGTTAAGGATGGACGAAAACACGTTATATGGTATATATAGTTTATAATTTGCTGATAAAAAACAGTACCGATGTCTCTATACATATAACATATATTTAAACATATTAGTGTTCCATAACAATGATGATGTGTATTTTTTAATCGGATACGCCAACGAAACGTAGTCAAGGGTACAAAATATCCTACAGTGCGACATTGAACAAATTATATTTTTAAATCACGAAATGCTGCGAACCGTAAAACGTACCAATCGGACAGTTTGATGCATCAACTTCAAATTTGTGTTGATGTCTACTTCAGAAACAATTTGTATATTACAAGGAAATTAAGACAAAATTCAGGTGCAAGGCTTGCAGTGATGTGATGACGATACAGCACATCTACAGAAAACTTTAGACACTTCATGCGTTTTTTAAACAAGATATATTAACTATAATCTATGTGAATCAGTCCATGCACAAACGATATTCTAACATCAAGAAATAACTTACCAGCCACCTTAACAACAGTTTGTCCACAACATCAAAAACAACCGTTATGTCCGATTCCGATATTTTTAGTTTTTCTTTATTTTTTTATTTGTATTTGATTATAGGAAACCCATACATATCGACCCTGTCAATCATTTATTTTCCGAAAATAGTAAAGTGTACGTTCCCTGTAACGCGTGTTGTGTAATATCCTGCTAAAAATTCAAGAAAGGGCATTTAGTTGTTCCTAATCGTCTCGGTAAAAAAATATTGTCAAAATATTGATTAACAAATAATCTCAAAAAAATGTGTTCACGAGAGTTTAGTGGTTTACAGCATTCAACTTGCGGCTCCAGTTGTAAACCTATCCCTTTATGTTAAGGTTTTATATCCCAGAACGAACACCACGTACCTCAAATAATAATTTTCTGGAGAGGCAATCCCAAATCCTTTAGAATTGAGATTCCTGCCAACTCTCATAGTGTCGCATGGTTCACGACTGTTGATGTATTCGTTGCCCGACGACTCCATTAAAAACGCATATTTTCCTTTTGAGTTTCGGACTCGCTCAATTCCTGTGGACATCTCTGCAACCATAACTGACGGTTGTGTCGACATGAAGTGCCACATCGTCTGGTATATAGGCACTTTTGATGTCTGACAAATCAAAATGAATTTCCTTAAAAAACCAGCAGTGCTGTATTTTATTGTTTTAAGCCCTAAACTACTCGCGCTCTGAATACACCTGTTGTTGTTTGACAGTGTTTACCTCGTGGGTTTCTATATAACTCACTGTTTACGCCCTATAACCCACTCTTAATCTCCAATTTCGAGACAATAAAGCTTGACTGTAATTACAGAACGATGAAAGTTCCTAGTTTTTCTGATGTACATGGATACAATATAGTTGTCTAATGTATATTTGAAATCACAAAAATCTATTTCCAACCTGTTCAGGAATGAATAATACGTTTTAACATAATCAACATAGAAACATCTGTCTTTTAATTCTTTGATTCAGTTGAGAGAATATAGTGTTCCTCGACGCCGATCTTCATTGAAAACTGAACGGATTCATAATACAAGGTCTGATGGTTTGATGGAGAATATTTGCAAAGCTCAGATTTACATTTTAAGCGTACAAATAAAGGGGAGGTAACTATGAGAGTTATTCTGTGAACACCATCTAAATAAACACGAAACGCTACAAAGTTATAGTCTGTAATGTCATACATTCTTATTGCCAAAATATATTTCCTAGAAACGTTGTCAGAGCTAATTGATTCCAAAATAAAAATAAAATCATTTTTAAGTGACAAGCTTTTAATATTTATAAAAAAAAGCCAAAATAGCCAAAGACATTCGAGCAGCTCACTAGCGCTTTTCCCCCCAAATTGAATCGGAGTCTGGCCCTATTGCATTTAGTTAGCATGCATAACAGAACACTGTTGTTCATAATATCTTTGTGCATTTCATTTTTGCTTTCTTTTTTTACTCCCAAATAGACAAATTACCTCTACAAGTATCGATTAAAGTCGTACTCACCCAACGAACATTTGTGTGTTCGGATTCAGTGCTTATATTGGACCAAATGGATTGTTATTACACCTGATATACAAATCAAATTGAACTCCTGTTTCTACTTATTTTAAATCTTTGAAATAAGTTCATGATTTTTCTTTAAGGAATATATGACACTGTTGGCTATATTTCTGTAAAATTTGGTGTTTTTCCCAAAGGGGTAACCGGCTGTCCCTTATAGTCACCTCTCCTTTACAGTATCTTGAAGGTCTGAACTGAGCTGACAGTGGAGGAACGGTTAGCACGATATTGACTGCGATAACACTGCAATCGGGACGATTGCTTTGGTGTGTTATTGTCGGATTTGCATAACAATGTAATAGTGTTATGCAAATCGAATCACAGGCAATATAAAATCGTGTACGGAAGAAATCAGCAGATTACTTCATTAGTAATTTACCTCGAAAAATTTCCTGCTTGTTCCAGAGGAAATAGTTCCGTACTTGATTTCTGTCTGTTTCGCTAGGTCATCAGCGGACTCAATAGGGGCTACCATTCTCTCAACCGTCAGAAACGCAGCCAGATTAGCAGTGTATGTTGATATTATTATCAAGACGAAAAACCACCAAACTGTTCCAATTATCCGTCCAGATATGGACCTGAGCAGAATTCATTTGTTAAAACATCTATAAGATTAATGCTACATTCTGAAATAAAAACATGTTATTTAAGAAATCGATATTGATGGATTTTGTTACTAATTGACCTAATTTACCGATATTTAAGAAGAATTACTCAAACAAAGAGCTTTACAACTATTATCCTAAACATATACATGCAGAAAAGGATTATGCATATTTTCCTTTAGATTGTATTTGCCTGAATCTTCGTCACGCGGCGATTGTTTAAGCGTAACTTACCGTGGACACGTATCGCTTCCTTGTAACATAAGGGCTCCAGTTGAAAACCAAAAGGAGTTCAGAATGGAAAACTCATTTTCATATTCCCCCTTTAATGCTGCAACCTTCTTCCATTCATAAGGGCTACAGCGACTAACGAGGAACAAGCCCACGCTAACCGCTGCGTAAGCAACTAGAATACAAATCCATATACCAAGTTCTAGTGGCTGCATAAAGGAAAATACCCCTGGTTTTTCAATGTCTGGTTTTTTAATCATTATGCTTATCCCAATGTTCATGAACGGTTTGGTAAAATCGATATCTTTTTCCCGTTCGTACGTAATGGTCAAAGGAGCTATGGCAAGATCTGCTTTCTGTGAAACAAGAAGAAAACAGATTTATTTTAAATGTTCAGAAACATGAAAGTATTGACTAAACATTCTGTAACTCTCCAATTTGGATGTTTTTTTTCTTTAGGAAACCAGAATATATTTTTTCTTGATAAAATTTGCATTTTCATGCAATATCAATTATCACTAGATCAAAACACGGTTATGAACACACATGACTCTGCTTTTATTGTGAATTGCTAGACGTACTTACCGATACTTTCCTTAAGTGTGACCAGAAATACTAACCCCGCTGACAAGTTCTCCTATCATTCCATTCCATGTGCCATTGACTTTGATACCATAGGCGTTATCCCCTACTTCATTCATAGTAAAGTTGAAGTGGAGCAAGTTTGCTATCTCAGTCGCTATATCTAAAGCATAACCTGGCGAAAAGATAATTCAAAACCTGTCTCTAGAAAAGTCACTTTAGTTTCACATATCCCTGTTTCTTTAACTATTCTTCTACGTTTAATTCGATAAAAGATGAACTAGAGATTAAGAAGATGCTATTTCAATTATGATAATATTGACTCTGAAAACATTATTATTGCGAAAGGTTTAAATTCTAACACATGAAACTGAGACCCTTTGATCCCGGAAATGAAGCAAAATATTGTTGAGGAAAACCCGATTGTAAATGCATGTTGCTGCCAATTGAGTTTTTTGTACCTACTTTTAATTTACAATAATGTAGCATGTTTTATGAACATGTTACAGCCTCATGTGTTGGGGTATTTCTTTCTGTATCATTGATATAAAGGGTCAAACAAATTAAACCATTAAACTGTCGTTGTTACTGGTGGGACAAATATGAATATTTGAAACGGAAATATATATTTTACATAAAAAACAGAAGGAAAGCAAAAACCACTGGGGTCAACCTCGTGACATCTACAATAACTACAAAGCCTACACTTTATGGATAGGGAAAGTTACTCATAGCCGGAAAATCCTTTTTGGATGCATTATCTTCTATATAGATGGCAGAATACTCGAAGCGAAAATCTCCGAGAGGGACTCTTCTGCCCTAATCGAAACATGAGTTTCATGAGATGACCGTTCTATTGAACACCACACACACCTACCTTTATATCTGTCATTTCCTGTTAATATTTTTCCATCTTTATTTTCCTTCGGCATTAAAAACGGCTGCGACTTGAAAAGAAAAAAAGAAAAAATTACATATTTTATATTTCAATCACTTTCTATTTAAGCCAAATCCAAGAAGAAAGTTGAATACAATTACTTCAAAAATGATGAGCTCCTGAAGTGCTGACGTCATCTTTTTAGATGACATTAAACTGATGGCATATATAGTATAATGTTAAAAATATTCAGGTTTTCAGTTGACCCATGACATTTAGCAATTTAAGAAGTCAAGTTTTCCTTGAATTTAGAGAAGTCAAATAGACCTTCATTTAAACACCAGTGCAGCAGTACAGTTTGGGTTGTCAAAAACAAACCCTCAAGGGTCTACTGAAAGCCCTGGTATTACAAAGCGAGTCTTTACCAGTATTGTAGTGATGCGTTTTATCTTTGAGTGAGTAACAGGCCTGAGGTCTGGTGGTTCTTCGTCTGAAGTACGGTACCCAAACTCCGGCTGCCAATAACCTATCCGGACTGGCCCGTGGTCTTGCCCTACCGTGCTGACGTTCAGTGTATAATTACGGCGAAATCCCTCAAAATCAAATGATATATGTCCCGTTAGCCCTTCAAATTCTGCCTGTAGCGAATGAAATCAAAATAATTTAAATTATTGTAGTACATTTTTTATGCTCAAATATACATAAAATGTTAGGGACATAAAATGTAAGGGATTGCCAGGGTTGAGAAGCTCCCCCCCCCCGAATCAGAATCAGTGAAGAAGGCAAGATGGCTCTCAATCTCAACACCTCTCTTTAATTAACAGATTTCCAGCAAAACAACCATTGCAACATGTTTTCCTTGTGTTTAGAGGTCATAAATGTAATATTTAGTTACCCTTTCAGTTAAATTATAACCGATATAAGCTGTTAGATTTCAGAGCAACTTGCCTTATTTCTGTACAAAAGCAAAATGATTGACAATTAAATTCAATGGATACGTCATGATTTTAATACATTGTTAAAGACAAAGATGTCAACTCTATGGTAATACTAAGCAGTATTAATACGTTATATTCATACGTGGTCATGTTCTGTCATGTATGGTCATCCATGTTTGTTGCAGTTGAGAAACATGACCCATGGCGTAACTAGTCTTTATACAACGCAATTGAAAGCCTTGATTCGAATTGAGTATAATTCGCTGTCGACCTTTCTGGTGTACATATCCGTAAGTTGTCAAATATGACCATAGTGTAGTCTTGTCGCAGTAAAATAAAAAGGGGATGTTTAATTGTTATATATTTCACGAGTATAACAGAATACCGATAGTTTTCACGATTGCGATACCAATGAATATATGTAACGGTAATTAACAGAAAAAGCATTGAATTTCTATTTAGTACATCTTTTAAAGGTTAAGTGACAAACGTATTGCATCAAAAAAGAGCGAGAATAAGTAGCGTGATATTTGACGCCAAATTTGCACGACGTCACGTTTGACACCAAGGCTAGTGCCGCGCATTTTGAATGGGTTACTCAACGCAGATCTACCGTTCTATGCTTTTTTTTCTCGTAGGATTTGCTTACAAAAATGGGATCAATCATGGAAGTATGTTAATGAATGAATGTATGCTTCAGAAATATACAAAAAGTCCACTTATTCTACCGTCGCGTTATCTGCAGGTTAACAGAAAATATGCGACAGTAAAGAAAAATACGTAATATTTTGATCGGTCAATATGTAATTGATAAAGAACCTTATATCATCCCATGTGAAGATGGAGCATTTTGTATATTTAAGCATTGAACTGTTTTTGTATGGTATTTATGATCTATTGGAATGACACAGCTTTGCAAGCAAACAAATCATAATGCGCGTTAAGCTGTGTCATTCAAATAGATCATAAATACCATACAGAAACAGTTCCATACTTACATTTACGTTTTCTCTGACTCTTATGTTCTTTTTTTAACTTATAATTTATATTTAAAATAAAAATGCCCGCCTTATCGACAGTCCACACAATTTCGTTCAATAGTTTGAACAGCGCATTGTCGCGTGCCGATTGGCAAACAAACACTTCAATTTTATTCCACAATTCAGTATCAATACAATTGCGTATGATATGTCTATAGGGTGATTTAAGTTTATCAATAGAACTCTGAGCTGAAAGTTAGATTTGAAATTGTTTCGATTTTTTCCCCGGAACAAATTTCGCGCGTGGACAAATAAAGTGAACACCGTAAATCCGACCTTGCCCTCCACGAGGGAGTTATTTTTGGAAGTTTATTCGAACTTTTCTCTTAGCTCATTTTGTGAAGAATCCAAGCGTGAATGTATTTGTTGATTGTATGGGAACCTGACAACAGTCGGTAGATTCTATAACAGCCTCGTTATTTGACATGTCGTCGGAAACTGAGGAACCGTGGTTGCGAGACGCGTGAAACTGATAGCGTTTGAAGTGAGTGATCTTGCGACGCATCACAGGTTCGTTACAAATGTCTGAAATGTTTATGTGTGCTGTAACTCATATCAGTAGGTCTATAACGTATATGTCATTAGGTCTATAGAATATGTGTATTTCAGACATTTGTAACGAACCCCTGTTGATCAGTGCAGTGTAACAGACGATATTTCTGTTAAAAAATGCATGAGCGTTAAAACTGTTTCAATTGCCGGCATTGGTGATTTCAACCGATGTGCATTTTGTACGATATTGCAGACCTTGGTCTTGTTTTCGTTGCAATAAAAGTGCTTTTTATTTTATTTTTTATTTTGCACATAAATTTACAATGACATTGTCAAATCTCACAATGCCCAGCGATATTTCAATAGCCGTCATGTTTATTTATATTGGATATTGTAGTTCCGGTCAGTACAACACTGACCAGAACTACAATATCCAATATACGCTAAAAAAACGCTAAGAATTGTGTCTCGTGATGCATGGTAATTAAAGCCCCATCAACGACACAGCTTTCAAATAGGCTATATAGTGACAATGACATGCAAATGTAAATATATAAGTGTTAATCACACTGATAAATTCTGAAATGTCACTGGTACAATGTAATAGAATACGATATCTTATTTCGTACCACACCTGGTCTATGTTATTTACCTCTACAGTATGTAGCTTTGAATCGTTGCCTATTTCTATGCTATTTTAACGCGGTTATCGGAGCATGGGTCACTTTTCTGTAATAGTAGTAACAGTAGTAGTAAAAGTGTTAATTTTCACAGAAAATTCAACCCACTATTGAGAGCACGTCATTTATAATTCTGCTTAAGTATCTAATAAAATATATGCATTCTCCATACATTTGTCGTATCATTATCGTAATTAGAGAGTGCGAAACCAGTAATCAGAACCGTTGATGGCAATTAATCCTTCATTAAGACTACACTTAAGTTACTCGAATGTTATCTGTATCCTTCAGCGCCATAGGAAACGATTGCGTCTAACCTGTTTAAGGAACTGTGTAATGTTTTCGCCATGCATCCAAGGAATTGGTGGCGGGTCATTCGTCTGTAGTCGATTACATGGTATTCCTTCTTTGCTGTAATTACTGTTGTAGACTTTTCCACGCCGAAAATTGGGTCGAAACACCTGCTGATTATGTCGCAACATCCGGGAAAACGTGTCGACGATCAGACGGAGAGCATCAACAGCCATGGCTGATTCGGCCTGTAAGGACAACATAGAACGTTTTGGTGAAGAACGACTTGTAACAAGTACGCTCACAGATGTGGACAACGTTATGTTCATTGTTGAAATAAAATCACATGGAAAATATGTCACTTATTAACCAAATGTAGGGTAGTGCAGTGGATAGCGCACTCGCCTTTGCCAAGACGGCCGGGGCTCGAATCCCCGTTCGGACGTACGGATGGATCCCCTGCCCGATCATGTGGGTTTTCTCCAGATACTCCGGTTTTGTCTAACATTAAAAACCTCTACGCGCTACCATCCGGGCCATCAAGACTGAGCAATATAAGTTGTTATTGCATGAAAACACGTCTGATAAAAAAAATCTTGAAAAAATACGGCATAGTTTATTTTCAAAATGCCATATTGGGAGTTATACTACATTGTATGTAATTATTGTCAAGATATTATAAGTACATTGTTGAAAACTGCTTTCATATATATGTAAACAAAAATATATGTTATATTTCTTTATGAAATGAGTTTGTTCAATCTATGAACTGAAGGAAGAACATTTTCACAGCATCTTATTTTGACAGTAAGTAACGTACAGTAAATAAGGTACAGTAAGAAACGTACAGTAAGTAACGTACAGTAAGTGAGGTACAGTAAGTAAAGTACAGTAAGTAAAGTACAGTAAGTAAGGTACAGTAAGTAAGGTACAGTAAGTAACGTACAGTAAGTAACGTACAGTAAGTAAGTTACGTACAGTAAGTAAGGTACAATAAGTAACGTACAGTAAGTAACGTACAGTAAGTAAGTTACGTACAGTAAGGTACAGTAAATAACGTACAGTAAGTAACGTACAGTAAGTAACGTACAGTAAGTAAAGTACAGTAAGTAAGGTACAGTAAGTAACGTACAGTAAGTAAGGTACCTTACTTACTGTACTTTACTTACTCTACCTTACTTACTGTACCTTCCTTACTGTACTTTACTTACTGTACGTTATTTACTGTAACTTACTGTACGTAACTAAATTAGTATACGTTACTTACTGTACTATACTTACTGTACGTTACTCACTGTACTTTACTTACTGTACAATAAGTAACGTACAGTAACTAAGGTACAGTAAGTAAGGTACGTACAGTAAGTAAGGAACTGTAAGTAAGGTACAGTAAGCAAGGTACAGTAAGTAAGGTAGAGTAAGTAAAGTACAGTGAGTAACGTACAGTAAGTATAGTACAGTAAGTAACGTACAGTAAGTAAGGTACAGTAAGTAAGGTACAATAAGTAAGGTACAGTAAGTAAAGTAAGTAACGTACAGTAAGTAAGGTACAGTAAGTAAGGTACAGTAAGTAAGGTACAGTAAGTAAGTTACGTACAGTAAGGTACAGTAAGTAAGGTACAGTAAGTAACGTACAGTAAGTAACGTACAGTAAGTAAGGTAAAGTAAGTAACGTACAGTAAGTAAGGTACAGTAAGTAAGTTACGTACAGTAAGGTACAGTAAGTAACGTACAGTAAGTAACGTACAGTAAGTAAGTTACGTACAGTAAGGTACAGTAAGTAACGTGCAGTAAGTAACGTACAGTAAGTAACGTACAGTAAGTAACGTACAGTAAGTAAGGTACAGTAAGTAACGTACAGTAAGTAACGTACAGTAAGTAACGTACACTAAGTAAGTTACGTACAGTAAGGTACAGTAAGTAACGTACAGTAAGTAACGTACAGTAAGTGGTTGACCGGCTCCAGCGTACTCCGTCTTTTTTGCGCTCATCCAATTCTTATTGAATTTCCTTATTTCATCATTATCTTCAGATACTAGGTCAAATCCTGTAAGATTGACGCCGCCATGCAAGAATCTTCGAAAGTCAAGTTGAGAGAAATCCTGTAAAAGATGTTTATGAAAAAAGCTGAGTATTTTATAATGTTATTGACATTGTAGACCGAGCCAAATTTTAAAATCTTGTAGCTTTTTGATAAAATACTAATTTAATCTTATTAAGAAAAGATATTGTTTGACAATTATAATTGCCGTATTAATAACTGTATCCCATATAAACCCAAACTGTTCATACGACACTGGTTATAATACAGATTATCTTAAGCCTACTTTTGTGGCATCACAATCAGTTTTATAATAAGGCGAACTTTTAAAAAACAAGACATAGAGCTCTCTCCTCGAATTAAACATATCGAAGCGTTATAACAAACTAGACTACCTGCAATATAAATAAAGCATATTGTGTGACTACCTGTATATATAAGGTATATGAGAAAAGGCGCTGGAAATTTCGGATTTTAGATGTTGGAGATAATTTGAGATTACAGGCAATACTGAAGGTTGGTAAGGTATAACAATCAATACTGATTGTTGGTAAGATATCATAAACAATACGTATTGTTGGTAATATATTATAAACAATACTGATTGGAGGTAAGAAATTATAAACAATACTGATTGGATGTAAGATATTATGAATAACACTGATTGGATGTAAGATATTATTTAAATATTACTGATTGTATGTAAGATATTATGAACAATACAGATTGGAGGTAAGATATTATAAACAATACATATTGTTGGTAATATATTATAAACAATACTTATTGGAGGTAAGATATTATAAACAAAACGTATTGTTGGTAATATATTATAAACAATACAGATTGGAAGTAGGATATTATAAACAATACTGATTGGAGGTAAGATATTATAAACAATACGGATTGGAGGTAAGATGTTATGAACAATACTGATTGGAGGTAAGATATTATTTAAATATTACTGATTGTATGTAAGATATTATGAACAATACAGATTGGAGGTAAGATATTACAAACATTACAGATTGGAGGTAAGATATTATAAACAGAACTGATTGGAGGAAAGATATTATAAACAGAACTGATTGGAGGTAAGATAGTATAAACAGTACTGATTGGAGGTAAGATATTATAAACAATACAGATTGGAGGGAAGATATTATAAACAGAACTGATTGGAGGTAAGATAGTATAAACAGTACTGATTGGAGGTAAGATGTTATAAACAATACTGATTGGAGGAAAGATATTATAAACAGAACTGATTGGAGGTAAGATAGTATAAACAGTACTGATTGGAGGTAAGATATTATAAACAATACGGATTTGAGGTAAGATGTTATGAACAATACTGATTCGAGGTAAGATATTATTTAAATATTACTGATTGTATGTAAGATATTATAAACAATACAGATTGGAGGTAAGATATTATAAACAGAACTGATTGGAAGTTAGATATTATAAACAGTACTGATTGGAGGTAAGATATTATAAACAATACAGATTGGAGGTAAGATATTATAAACAACACTGATTGGAGGTAAGATATTATAAACAATACAGATTTGAGGTAAGATATTATAAACAATACAGATTGGAGGTAAGATATTATTTAAATATTTCTGATTGGCTAAGATATTATTTAAATATTACTGATTGGATGTAAGATATTATAAACTATACTGATTTGAGGTAAGATATTATAAACAATACTGATTGGAGGTAAGATATTATAAACAATACTGATTGTAGGTAAGATGTTATTAAAATATAACTGATTGGATGTAATACGTTATAAACAATACTGATTGGAGGTAAGATATTATTAAAATATAACTGATTGGATGTAAGACATTATAAACAATACTGATTGGAGGTAAGATATTATAAACAATACTGATTGGAGGTAAATTATTATTAAAATATAACTGATTGGATGTAAGATATTATAAACAATACTGATTGGAGGTAAGATATTATTAAAATAAACTGATTGGATGTAAGACATTATAAACAATACTGATTGGAGGTAAGATATTATAAACAATACAGATAGGAGGTAAGATATTATAAACAGTACCGATTGGTGGTAAGATATTATAAACAATACAGATTGGAGGTAACCCTTGAAATGGATCTTTCCATCTTCGATCTCATAGTACATTGTAAAATACCTATCAACTTACCAATGTTGCCAATAGATAAAAGTAACTGTGTTTGTTCATCCCGACTTCAGCAATCTGAAAAAAAGAATTGATATTACAAAATAAATTATATCCATGTAAATAGTCTATTGATGTTTATTTTCTTTATTTCACGAAAAGTGATAAACTCGACAGTTGTTGATTCCGATTCCTCTTTTCTTTCTTGCATGTAAAAGTTTTTAACAGTGTTTGACGGAACGTAGTTTTCAGGCAATTTTCAATGTTAAGTAAACGTCAATGAGATACTAACTGATTTTCTCAATCAAATAATATTGCTTTTGATTCGAAAGTTGAAATAATGGGGAAAGTGATCATTATTGTATATATATTAATCTCTTAACTTACAATGTATGTGTTTTCATAAAACTTACTGATGCTGTGTTTTAGTTGCAATTTTGTTTTGCTACTTTAAGAACATCTCACCACTGTACTTCCAAAAATATCAACAGTTATATATATTTCGTTCATTTTGATCATTCAAAAACAATTTCCTGGTGTGAAAACAAATGGTAATAAACAATATTTGAATTAATTACAACTTAAACTATCAGATATAAGCTAAAAATGTGTTTGTATATCTGAACAACAATGGAATTGTGTTTGTAATACAAGTCTCGAGCAATCTCGTGGAATCTTGCGTAATTTTACACTGTAATATAATGGTGATACTGAGACGTGAAATCTATTACTGGAAATTGAAACACTGTTCTTACACACTAAAACAGTACACACTCTACCAACCGCTGATTGGGACTCCTCTGTGGGGTTTCATTACAACACAAAACTGCACACAATTGTACTATTTGATTCTAAATTTTGTCAATTTGTTTTTGCTGACAATAAACCCATCTCCGCAGTTTTTATGTGAATATTGGATGAGAAAATCAAATTTAGATCAATTGCAAGCCCGATAGACATTGCGGTCTAGATCGCTGTTTGGCATACGTCATGATGTGGCTTCAATACCAATAACATGCTCAGTATAGCAAACGCAGTCTGAATACTACACGCGTTATACAAATATGATACTTCGTTAAATCTGTAAAATTATGGATATTTAATATGGGCTACAGAAGACAATTATTAGTGGAATAGACAAATCTTCAATGACAGAAGGTATAGTGTTTGGATAATCCGACATTGAAATATAAATTCAGATGCCCCTGAGGGATCAGTTACCAGCCTAATATTGTTTTTGTGTGTGTATGATCTTCGTTGGTAGCGCATGCATTCGTATTCGCTGATGGTATAAATAAGGATAGTATTCTAGGAATCCAATCAAATACAGGTACCCAATCTGAAAAGTTCTCACTACAAAAATGGCGATAAAGGGAATTGTGAGAATATACTGTTGAGTTCGGAGGCAATATTTTTCAGCTGACTGTGGGCATTTTATGGGAACGATCTGTGTTCCATTTCTGACCGACCCGTTTTTGAGTTTATTGAATTTATTAAAGAAATAATTAAGACTGGTAACAAAAACCCTTTAATTTCACATTCAGACATATCGAAGATGTGCTCTTTTTTTAATTAACCATGTCGATCATATACTAGAATACTCTACTAATTTAGAGAACACGGACATAACAGGGTACTTCTACATCATACCACGATTACTGACATGATAATCCAAAGCCTCCATCGTTAGTGTGCCTTGTTGGTTTGTGGTGCCATAGTGGGGGTCGTCAATGAAGCACAAGACGCTTCCCCTTCCGGACACCGTGTCTTAGTCTCCTCGGACACCGTGTCTTAGTCTCCTCGGACACCGTGTCTTAGTATCCTCGGACACCGTGTCTTAGTCTCCTAGTACTTTCCGTCGTACTTATGTTGCCCCAGTTTTTATATAGGTATGAATGTGTTTTAATCTAATGAGACATACAAAGTATGTTCTGCACTTTACTTCCTTGAAGCAGAGTATACTAAGCAATCGACAACAAAGGACCCGACATATTTTTTTTTTATCTAGCAATTATAAAATAGGAGCAAGCTAGTTCTCCTCAAACCAACATGTTCCATTTGTTGGACAACATATTGAAATGGACTGCTAATTGAATGTTGTAGATAGTTGCATTATCAAAATCATTAAATCACTTTAAACAGATACATTATCTTTTTATTAGAAAACTGTTTTATTAAAATTGTTTACTGATGAAACATAAATATTTATCACATCAATTTATATAAAATGTTATTACATGCTTCCAATATTGCTTCTTAAAATGAATGTATAAAATGTAAAATGAAATACGGTGAACATATTATCAAAATGGGGGAAAAAATGCTTTGTATTTAGACTGACCTCATAAGAATCTATTACATTAATGTTCTAAACGAAATATTCAACCTTATGACCAATATATTAATTCTCATTAAACTGACAAATAAAGAAAAGTATCAACAATTCGAGATGAAATTGCATTGCCATATACATGTATCAAGATGTGGCTTCAATTAAAAGAAGAATGTTCTGTTATATTGTACACTAAATATTAAAAGTGTTCTACGCGATGAATTTTGAAAATACATTCATTTTAAAAAGATATTAGGCGTTGGATTGAAAAGCAATTACCTGTTGCAAAATAGATTGTTTTAACCTGTTGCAAAGCCTGTCCAAAGTTTGTTTTAATTCAAACTATATCATGTTTATCTGTTTAATTGCAAATATTATGTTTTAAAATAGCTTAATCGATGTTTGATCCTGCATGAAAATGGATTCAACTGCCTGATAAATTTCGGAAATACGCATTTTTTTATGTAAACAATGACTTTTAAGTTGCTGTTACTTCCATAAGCTTGCTTGTCGCCTTAATAATTTCACGAGATTCGTTAGTGATGCATATTGTGCGACTTTATTTAGACCGTGTCGATATCTGTTTTTGTTACTGATTTCGACGTTTTATATATTGTGTAAAAAGCCATATAGAACTAGTTTGAATGCATCATGTGGTAGAAAGTATGGATGCAATGCCGATGTGTCCAATACGAGTGCATATTCTAAAATATTTCGAACTATGAACTGAGTTACAGCTTTACGTGTAACTAAAACAGTTATCTTAATAAAGAAAACAATTCCGGAAGTATATGCATGAGACAGTGTGGTACTACTTACCTGTTTTAGGATAGATTCATACGCCTGTTGTGAAGTGAGATCCAGTATAATTGCCTTTTCCACATTATCCTTAATAAACCTGTCTAGATGTTTCAGCTCTTCATGCGCGTGATTCACGTCATTCAGGCGACGGAAACCAATTTTCAAATCTTTTGCTTTTTCGGACTGATAGATTTGCTGTAAACGTTGTAGACCTGTCAGAATAACGATATACATATATTTATTATCTATAATTCATTTAGGACTTTTCTTGTGATTTTTATATGCAATTTAGGCAACAGATTTTGCCTATAAATAAGGACATAAGTATATATTATGTAAGAGTATATAAACCCCTTTTATTTAATACAACAGAAGTAAATTGAAATGTGTGTTTACATAAAACTAGAGTACAACAAGAATATATTGAAGTGTTGACAGTATTTTAGCGCAATCACACTTTGGTGCATTATTGACTTTTAACAGATAAGTGCAAGTCGAGATAACAACCTTCATCCGAGTCGTACAGGAAATGTACAAACTTCCACTTGTAGAATAAGATCATGTCGACAATGGCCATAGTGTAAGACGGCTTCATATGAACTTGGAAAGGTGCGTCAAAACGGGTGACCACACGGGACAGGCTCGGTGATATATACGGCATGTGGAAACGTCGAGTGTAGGCTTCGACTATGTCCAGAGAATTGATGTCCTTCATTCCATAGAATAGAAACACCCCACTTGACATCTGAGTACAGACTGAAATATGATGTTAATTGTTAATATTTAGATCTGACGCCACCTAACTTCTGAGTACAGACAGAAATATAATGTTAAGTTTTAATATTTACATCTGACGTCAACCTCCTTTGAGTACAGACTGAAACATTTGCAGTGCATCATCCCTTTGCAATGTTAAGAAAATGCTTTCCGTGCTGTGAAACTATAACTTTAATTAGTCATTCGACCACATGGGGTTATTTGTTTCACAGCATTTGAAGCATTTCCTTTTACGTCTGAAAACATTGACTTTGCTGTATCAAAAACTTTACGAACTGATGTTAGTTGAGTTAAATAACTCAATGAAGCATTAAGACTTTTTTGAAATATAAAAAAAGGAGTGATTGTTAACTGCCAGGCTCATACAGTTTAGCAACAATAGCAGTGATAGAAACATCACCTCATTGGTTAAAACATTAATCACTTCAATCTGGGAACGTTCATCATATTTGAATAGTTATTATATAGAACCAGAGTGTATTTGATTCAAAAATACCAGCAGAGATAATGCCCGAACTCCCATACAACAGGAACACATCTCTGCACATCTAAGGGAATGCATGCTACCAATCTTGGTACGATAACACAAACTTAAATAAGAACTTGCTATCAGAAGTTCAAATGTAATCACAGGGGAAATGCACTGGAACTAAATGTCAGTTGCTTTTCTAGTGACACCAAGTGGTGATTGCATTGTCGTAATATCAACAGTCAATTGAATTATCATGACATCAGAATGTTTATTACGGTATTCATGCCATCAATTGTTAGTTGATTAACATTACTAAAAGTGTCCAGTATGACTCTTGTGTTTAAACAGCCAATGACATTTAACTGGTAAGGACAAACTTAATCACTTGAGAATTAGGGAAGTTAGGCAAAACGACCCTATAATGATATTTATAGAGAAACAGTCACCGGCTTGGTGACGATACGTATATTTTTCTTTTGTTTTGTTTATCTCTTTCCCCCAGAAATCTGTTTAAGAAATGTCTGTGTTTATTTTTAATGATGAACAAACGTATTTTTACTGATATGTGTGAACAACCTTGCGTTTTATTCTATGGACATTTATCATGGTATGCCAGATTGTTTCACATACTTTCGAAAAGGTAACACTTTAGAGTAGTATTGCTTACATGTATAGAAACAAGCACAAATATCCAGGAATCATACATATTTATCTTATTTTCGGAAGAATTCATCTGATCTAAATCAAATTAGTAACTAAATAAATTTGTCTGGGTCGTATATAATGAAAATACGAATCAACGTAAATGTGTCACAATAAACACCATGACCGTTATAGTATAGTGTGTGTTGATACTGTGATATATTCTGTCCTTGTGTTGATACTGTGATATAGTCTGTCCTTGTGTGTTGATACTGTGATATATTCTGTCCTTGTGTGTTGATAATGTGACATATTCTGTCCTTCCATGTTAATACTGTGATATATTCTGTCCTTGTGTTGATACTGTGATATATTCTGTCCTTGTGTGTTGATAATGTGACATATTCTGTCCTTCCATGTTAATACTGTGATATATTCTGTGCTTGTGTTGATACTGTGATATATTCTGTCCTTGTGTGTTGATACTGTGATGTATTCTGTCCTTGCGTGTTGATACTGTGAGATATTCTGTCCTTTTGTTGATACTGTAACATATTCTGTCCTTGTGTTGATACTGTGATATAATCTGTCCTTGTGTGTTGATACTGTGATATGATACTGTGATATATTCTGTCCTTGTGTGCTGATACTGTGATATATTCTGTCCTTGTGTGTTGATACTGTGACATATTCTGTCATTGTGTTGATACTGTGATATATTCTGTCCTAGTGTTGATACTGTGATATAGTCTGTCCTTGTGTGTTGATACTGTGCTATATTCTGTCCTTGTGTGTTGATAATGTGACATATTCTGTACTTCCATGTTAATACTGTGATATATTCTGCCCTTGTGTTGATACTGTGATATATTCTGTCTTTGTGTGTTTATACTGTGATATATTCTGTCCTTGCGTGTTGATACTGTGAGATATTCTGTCCTTTTGTTGATACTGTAACATATTCTGTCCTTGTGTTGATACTGTTACATATTCTGTCCTTGTGTTGATACTGTGATATAATCTGTCCTTGTGTGTTGATACTGTGATATGATACTGTGATATATTCTGTCCTTGTGTATTGATACTGTGACATATTCTGTCCTTGTGTGGATACTGTGATATATTCTGTCCTTGCGTGTTAATACTGGGACATATTCTGTCCTGGTGTGTTGATACTTTGATATATTCTGTCCTTGCGTGTTAATACTGTGACATATTCTGTCCTTGCGTGTTAATACTGTGACGTATTCTGTCCTTGTGTTGATACTGTGACATATTCTGTCCTTGTGGTGATACTGTGACATATTCTGTCCTTGTGTATTGATACTGTGATATATTCTGTCCTTGTGCTGATACTGTGATATATTCTGTCCTTGTGTGCTGATACTGTGATATATTCTGTCCTTGTGCTGATACTGTGATATATTCTGTCCTTGTGCTGATACTGTGACATATTCTGTCCTTGTGTGTTTATACTGTGATATATTCTGTCCTTGTGTTGATCCTGTGACATATTCTGTCCTTGTTTGTTGATACTGTGATATATTCTGTCCTTGTGTGCTGATACTGTGATATATTCTGTCCTTGTGCTGATACTGTGATATATTCTGTCCTTGTGTATTGATACTGTGACATATTCTGTCCTTGTTTGTTGATACTGTGATATATTCTGTCCTTGAGTGTTGATACTGTGACATATTCTGTCCTTGTGGTGATACTGTGACATATTCTGTCCTTGTGTTTTGATACTGTGATATATTCTGTCCTTGTGCGTTGATACTGTGATATATTCTGTCCTTGCGTGTTAATACTGGGACATATTCTGTCCTGGTGTGTTGATACTTTGATATATTCTGTCCTTGCGTGTTAATACTGGGACATATTCTGTCCTGGTGTGTTGATACTGTGATATATTCTGTCCTCGCGTGTTGATACTGTGACATATTCTGTCCTTGCGTGTTAATACTGTGACATATCCTGTCCTTGCGTGTTAATACTGTGACATATCCTGTCCTTGCGTGTTAATACTGTGACATATTCTGTCCTTGTGTATTGATACTGTGATATATTCTGTCCTTGTGCTGATACTGTGACATATTCTGTCCTTGTGTGTTGATCCTGTGATATATTCTGTCCTTGTGTTGATACTGTGACATATTCTGTCCTTGCGTGTTAATACTGTGACGTATTCTGTCCTTGTGTTGATACTGTGACATATTCTGTCCTTGTTTGTTGATACTGTGATATATTCTGTCCTTGCGTGTTGATACTGTGACATATTCTGTCCTTGTGTGTTGATACTGTGATATATTCTGTCATTGTGTGTTGATACTGTGATATATTCTGTCCTTGTGTGTTGATACTGTGATATATTCTGTCCTTGTATGTAGATACTGTGATATATTCTGTCCTTGTGTTGATACTGTGATATATTCTGTCCTTGTATTGATACTGTGATATATTCTGTCCTTGTGTGTTGATACTGTGACATATTCTGTCCTGGTGTGTTAATACTGTGGTATATTCTGTCCTTGCGTGTTGATACTATGATGTATTCTGTCCTTGTGTGTTGATACTGTGATATATTCTTTCCTTGCGTGTTGATACTGTGACATATTCTGTCCTTGTGCGTTGATACTGTGATATATTCTTTCCTTGCGTGTTGATACTGGGACATATTCTGTCCTTGTGTGTTGATACTTTGACATATTCTGTCCTTATGTGTTGATACTGTGATATACTCTGTCCTTGTGTTGATACTGTGATATATTCTGTCCTTGTGTGTTAATACTGTGATATATTCTGTCCTTTCGTGTTGATACTATGATGTATTCTGTCCTTGTGTGTTGATACTGTGATATATTCTGTTCTTGTGTTGATACCGTTATATTCTGTCCTTATGTGTTGATACTCTGATATATTCTGTCCTTGTGTTGATACTGTGACATATTCTGTCCTTGTGTGTTGATACTGTGATATATTCTGTCCTTGCGTGTTGATACTGTGATATATTCTGTCCTTGTGTGTTGATACTGTGACATATTCTGTCCTTGTGTGTTGATACTGTGATATATTCTGTCCTTGCGTGTTGATACTGTGACATATTCTGTCCTTTTGTTGATACTGTAACATATTCTGTCCTTGTGTTGATACTGTGACATATTGCGTGTTGATACTATGATATATTCTGTCCTTGTGTGTTGATACTGTGACATATTCTGTCATTGTTTGTTAATACTGTGACATATTCTGTCCTTGTGTGTTGATACTGTGATATATTCTGTCCTTGTGTATTGATACTGTAACATATTCTGTCCTTGTGTGTTGATACTTTGATATATTCTCTCATTGTGTGTTGATACTGTGATATATTCTTTCCTTGCGTGTTGATACTGTGACATATTCTGTCCTTTTGTTGATACTGTAACATATTCTGTCCTTGTGTTGATACTGTGACATATTCTGTCATTGTGTTGATTCTGTGATATATTCTGTCCTTGTGTGTTGATACTATGATGTATTCTGTCCTTGTGTGCTGATACTGTGATATATTCTGTTCTTTTGTTGATACTGTGATATATTCTGTCCTTATGTATTGATACTGTGATATATTCTGTCCTTGTGTGTTGATACTATGATGTATTCTGTCCTTGTGTGTTGATACTGTGATATATTCTGTTCTTTTGTTGATACCGTGATATATTCTGTCCTTGTGTGTTGATACTGTGATATATTCTGTCCCTGTGTTGATACTGTGATATGTTCTGTCCTTGTGTGTTGATACTGTGATATATTCTGTTCTTGTGTGTTGATACTGTGACATATTCTGTCCTTATGTGTTGATACTGTGATATATTCTGTCCTT